CCACGGCACGCCAACGACTCCCTGGACTGTGTCAGACGATCGGCCCTTGAAGCGGCCTGCGCCTCTCTGGGACCGTATGACGCAGGCCGCTGGACGGCACGTTGTCTCTCGCTGCGCATGCATTCGGATCCGCTGCGCTGCCACTTGACTCCCCGGACAGCCGCGCTGCCTGTGGAGCCTCACCGCACAGCTGCTGGCAGCCTTGCATGCTCCTGCCGAGCGGAGTGTCCTGCCACTGAGCATGGCCTCGGACACTTCCAGTTCCCCGCCTGGCAGCAGCATCCCAATCGCCAACACGAGTTCCTGCCGCCACAGACTTCCTCTCGGCGATGGAGGCGCTCCTCTTTGGCCCACTGGCGGTGCACGACAACGGCGTCACCGAAGAGATTTGCATCATGCCGCTTTCACTGGTGGATTGAGGTCACACGGCTGAATCCACATTTCCCCATGACGCTGCGGAATCCCACGCAGCGTGACAGCGAACGCGGACACCGTCATGGCACGATCTCTCCCGCAGGACTGCGTCACTGCCTGGCACGTGGGCTTCCTTACCGCCGTCAAGAGGTTATAATGGAAGGATGTCCAGGAGGAAAGGGAAGGCGCGTACACCGTGTGACAGGCCCCTGTCGGCGTGGTGAGGACTGTCTTCCTGGTGCTGACCCGGACATCGTGCCCCGAGTGGCGGCACTGCGCACGGGCGCGATGCAACACCTTCCCACTCTTCGACAGGCCTGCACGCGCCCTGCGGATCACAATGGTGCTGCAGTCGGCGGATCGTTTTCGAGCGGCTGCTGCACCACACGCTGTGGTCTAAATTTTTGTTTTGAATTATGAATGGTGGTGGTCAGAGACACTCTCTGTCAATATCTGTTTGCGTGTTCACACACTGGACACCAAACAACCCTGAACTATCCGCTGCTTGGAGGAATTTCGCGAGCTCCTGCCCAGAAGGGTGCTGCAGTCGGCGGATCGTTTTCGAGCGGCTGCTGCAGCACACGCTGTGGACCAAATTTTTGTAGGAGGTTGTGAAATGAATGATAGTGGGTGAGCTGGCTAGCTTAATTAATGTATGTATATATCCTGATAAATGAATGCATTCTTTATGATACTTTCTACCGTATGAATCTTTTGGGAAGAACGCGACTTTGTAGGGGCAGGGAACCGATAGAAGCCAGTGTACTTTATTTTTTACAAACACACAGCCAGGTATGTTTACAGACATGTCATTGGTCCCCTACACACCCTCCGAGTGGTGTGATATTGGCGCCCGTCTCTGGGACATGGTGTGCCAATGTGGCGAGACCCAGGTACAGATGACGTTCATTAATGGCAATCAGATGTCGGACGAGACGTTAACTGTGGCCCCATGATCCACAGGCTTATGCCTGTTCCATGGACCTGTCTCTAAAGCTTGGCAGGGTTCTACTCTTATTGGACATATTGCGGATCTACGGGCGCCTCAGATCCCTAATTTTGAGACACAAGCGCTCCTGCCCGCTATGGGGGCAGCCCGGGAGTTGGGGCACCAACAAGGGCTCATCACTGCTGAAAGGGAGCGCCTGAATATTGATTACGCAAACGCCGTCGCGGACGTGCAGAATCGGAATGCTCGGCTTAACTCGCAGTTTCAGGAGGCGCATCGCAACCTATCGGTAAGGGAATCCACTATCGCCGGGGCCGGCAAACAGGTCCTAGAACTACAACAGCAGTTGGAGGCCGCACGCGCCAAATTACGGGAGCGCGAATTCAACTTGGGAAGACTCACCGCTCAACTCCAGGAACGGGAGGCACGCCATAATGCACAACAACCCGTGCGGGATGCGGAGACGGCGGGGCGGGGCAAGTCTCCCGCTACTCGACACGTTGTCAACGATGGCGTAACTACACTACCGCATCAAACGGATATCTTGATGGCTGGAGGCGTGCCTAGCAGCGCGGCCCGACGCAGTTCGGCGGCTTACAGACGCCCTCACGGCAATGTTGGGAGACCACATTTCCACCCCTCCACGCCGTTGCCTTCCCGCACTTCTCCCCTGGACGCCCAATTACCCATGGAGGAGGACCGCAGTTTCTGCGCATTCGACGTCACCACGTGGCCCTTGCGCATATGGAATGAGGGCGCCTCCGGA